ATGTATATTAGAGATGCACAATATTGGATTTTTGGCCAATATCCGATGTGCCAATATGTTAAAACGTATTTGGCCAATAACTGATACAAATACCGTTACACACTGCTTGGCCAAAAAAAAAGGTCACTCTTATATTTCATTGGACCGTCTTTATCTTCGACTACATCATGCATCACTGTGTCATTGTTTCAATAAGCTTCTACAATGTCACAAGATCTATTTCCATCCAGTGTTGATTAATTTTTCACCAAGATCTTGCATTGATGACTAGACTCTAGTCATGATGGGTGCATCACTTCACCTGCCTCTCTTCTTACCCTGATGCGTCCATCACTCTGGAACAGGGTGGACTCATCAGACCTTCCTCCATTGCTCCACAGTCCAATCTTTATGCTCCCTAGCAAATTGAAGCCTTTTTTCCGGTTAGCCTCACTGATTAATGGTTTTCTTAAGGCTACACAGCTGTTCAGTCCCAATCCCTTGAGTTCCTTCACATTGTGCGTGTGGAAATGTTCTTACTTTCACTATTAAACACAGCCCTGAGTGCTACTGCTGTTTTTCTTCCATTTGATTTCACCAAACGTTTAAGTGATCGCCGATCACGATCATTCAGGATTTGTTTCGGCCATATTTCTTCCTCGAAGACAATGGGTCTCCACTATCCTTCCAGTTTTAAATAATGTGTTGGACAGTTCTTAACCCAGTTTTAGTAGTTTCTGCAACCTCCTTAGATGTTTTCTCTGCTTGATGCCAATGATTTGACTCTTCTCAAACAGACTGACATCTTTTCCACGACCACGTGATGTGTCTTTCAACATGGTTAAGAAATGAGAAGCAACTCATTGCACCAGTTGGGGATAAATAACTTGTTGCAGCTGAAAGATAACCACCCATACAGTAATTATCCAATAGGAGGCTCGTACCTATTTACTTAGTTAAATCCAGGTGGCGACTTCTTTATTTGGCCAGGCGGTGTATATTTTTTCTAGACCTACTTATAGAGACTACACTGCTTTCTCTGCTGTGGAAATAAAATGCTACATTATTCTGCATGGTCTTTGTCAATCTGGCCTACAACAAAATGCAGATGCTAAAAAGGGGCTGAAAATGATGCAACACTTCAACTTGGATTATGTTTAACGTTAAATTTATTCATGACATTTACTCTCTCTAACACAATGACAACACTCGAACAGTCATACAAAAACAGCGCCATATATATATTTTGATGGAATGGCCGATGTCCGATATTTAACTTTATCGCTAATATCGGCCGATACGATATGTCGATAATATTGTGCATCCCTAATATTTATTATTATATATATAATTATGAAGAATACCTACTGTAAGAATCAACAGAACTTCAACCTAAATGTCACTTCATTAATTGGTTCAATTTATAATTGTTGTTGGTTTAATTTTGAACAGACGTATATAAATATAAATTACACAAATAAGAGAGGAAAACAGATGAGCTCAATTTAGACACTTTATAGTCATCAACTGGTGGCGTGTGGGAAAAAATGGCCCACAACTTTAGTCCGTTTGCCTTCAAAATAATAAATTGTTAATAAGTCAACCACAGTTTAACAGTGTAATCAATTTGCTTGTACACAGCATGTGATCAGGCCTGACTTAAACACTGTAGCAAAACACACATGAAAAAACTGCAGCTGACATCAAGAGACACTTTAGCTGTTTATCTCAGTAGGACACAAAAGAGCTAAGGCACGTGTTTGAGTGCACGCTCGTCTGTTTGTTCACGACCTCCCGTTTAAACAGAAAACCTGTGAATGTATTCAAGCGTTTTTGTTTTTTGTTCCTCCTTCAGAAGTGGAGCACTTCAGCCCAGCTCGCGTGTCTGAGAAAGTCCTGTTCCACCTGCTCCGTCACCCCAGCGTCAACCAGGAGGTCCACTTTGACCACAACAACCGGCTGAGCCCGATCCACTACCTGTACACACGTAACCACCCGGTGGACTACTTCATCCTCCTGCTGCAGGTACGAGCGCACGCTCCTTTTCATAAAGCTGCATTTTGGTATTTAAACAAAGAAAACGGCAGTGAATGAGAAAAGGGTCCGACTACCTGCTTCCACCCCAACAATATCTAGAAATATGACTTGCTTGTCTAAAAAGATAATTAGTTGTAGACTTCCATTCCCTCATTACTTTCTGTTTGAACGTCCAGTGGTTTATCAGATATTTGACTTATAACAAACACACAGAGACATGAGCAGAAACACACGTGTCCACTTTTGATTTTTGATGGACACTTACTGAAACTAGAGAAATATAATTTCCTGAGAAAATGCAGTGGGAATGCTTATTGCTGAATGATATTTGCTGAAAGCTGCTGAAAAGGTTTTCTCACTAAACTGTGGATACAAGTTCAATTTGAACAGCTGGCATGTGCTGAAAGCAGGAAAATAAGAGTGGAAAAGGGCAGAAATGTGTGGAAAAGGCTGAATAGAGCTGAAATGGGCAGACGCTGAAAAACTTGTGAAAAAAATCTGAAATCGACAAAGAAAAGGAGCTGAAAAAGTTTAAATTAATTAAAAAAAAACATAATAAACTGAACAAGCTAAAAACAAAAGTGAAAATTGCACCAGAAATTGTGCAGAAAGGAACATAAAAAGTTGTACTTGTTTAAAAGAAACACAAATGGAGGAAATTAACAAAAAATAGTGGATAAAAAGCTGAAAAATGCCAAAAAGTAGCTGAAAAGGCAGAAAAATCTAATTTTGCAGAACAAAGCTAAAAGAAGCATAACAAGCTAAAAGTAGCACAAAGAAGCTGAAATGAGCAGTAAAGTTTTAAACAGCACAAAGTAGAGCTCCATTCATTTACAATAAGAAAAATATGGCTGTAAAAGCCAAATATTTCAAAAAGTAAAACTTGCACAAATACCAAAAGTCATTGTTTTGAAATATGATTTGTTGAAATAGCACAAGTGTGGAACGAGGAAAACATACGGAAGACAAAAGAATGTGAATGATGTAATGAAAACATGTCCATAGTGATTCCAGTCAGTTTTAACTGTTCTGTTAATTATTCAACACAGCCAACATGAAAAAGTTTAAAACTATTTCCATTATTTAACGGTCCAGACTGAAAACACGGAGACAAATTACGTCCCATTTATTACCGTCAGTTTGTGACGTTTCTCAAGGTCAGTCCCAAACTCGACAAAAAAAAGACAAGCAATGCAACAATGAGCAATAAATGAAAATTAAAATATAGAAATGCATTTTAAAGCTGGAACTATATAACCAGTAAGTTGCTTAAAAAAATTAAAATAATTTACTAATTTTACCAATAAAAAACAAATAAACATTTAAATCAAATTGTTTACCAGTGTATTCTATCTTATCTTATTTAACTGAAGAGTGCACATTTTGTTTGTTTGTTTGTTTGTTTGTTTGTTTGTTTGTTTGTTTGTTAGGGCCGTGTGGAGGTGGAAATTGGCAAAGAAGGGCTGAAGTTTGAGAATGGTGCGTTCACGTACTACGGCGTTTCTGCTCTGACGCTGCCATCTTCAGGTGAGGTCATGAACTGCGCGCAGTGTGTTCAGGATGACTCCCTAAGCCTTTTGGTGGCAGGTTAAAAACAAATCTTTGATGTTTTGAAGCTTTAGCAAGTTATTACTGCCGTTATTGTTTGTTGTCAGTAAAATGTCACACATGATCGTCACGAGTGGATCAGATGGTCGTGAATTTATCGTTCTTAATATCTGACCTGGTGTGGTCGCAGTGCATCAGTCTCCAGTGTCGACCCAGCGGCGCTCTCCCAGGGATCTCTTTGAGTCATCAGACGCCACCAGCCCGTCCAGCTACTGTCCCGACTACACAGTCCGAGCTCTCACTGACCTGCAGCTCATACGGGT